AACATTCTGACTCCTTAGTTAGTGTATCTAGGATTTACTAATACATTCCAAAAGTTCTTACCTATTGCTCACAGGATCTTGAGTTTGACTTTGTTAGTTATGGGATATCAGGCACACACCTTTGATCCCAGTGCTTGGGAGGTAGAAGCAAGCAGACCTTTGTGAGTTCAAAGCCAGCCTGATCTACAGAGCTAGTTCCAGGACAGGCTGCAAAGCTATACAGAGAAATACTATCTTGAGGGAAAAAAAAAAAAAAAAAAAGAATGACTATTTAAGGGGCTAAAGATGTAATGAGCCATAGATCTGGATCTGTAACATTCCAACCTTTTCTAACCAGTCCGTTGGCCTTTGCAGATACACCTTCTTTCTAGAGTTCTCATCCACACTGTTCTTCCACAGGACCTAAGTTTGATTCCCAGCACCCATTTGGGGTGGCTCACAACCACCTGTAGCTTTTTCAAAGCACACACCTTTAATCCCAGCACCCAGGAGGCAGAGGCAGGCAGATCTCTGTAAGTTCAAGACTGGCCTGGTCTAGTTACCTAGAGTTCCAATCCCGCTAAGGCTATGAGACCTCTGTCTCAAAAACAAAGAAGACAAAAACTACATACAACTTCTTAAATTGTGATTTGCAGTACACCTGAAAGTATGTGTGAAGGAACACATGGACACACACAAAGTGACATTAGCAAAAGGTTTCTGAACAAACAGTAACCAAAAACTAATTCAAAATCAAACATAATGAAAAATTTAAAATTCAAACATGATGAAGCTGAGGTTTGCGGCGGTGGCGTCTGACTGAGCTGCTTCTCGAGGTCTCCCTGTGGCCTTGACTCGGGTCAACATGTCACATTTCCCATTAGCACAGGTACCAGTGAACACTGACGTCTTAAGATTTGACACACTGTTGTCTTAAAAACCGGAGTGCTTTCCCTGTACAAAGACCTTTGTTCTTACAAAAGCATAGTGGCCTGATTGTAGCAAAGACTGTATTTCCCACTGTCATTCTTCAGCTTGTAAAATCAAGTGAGTAGATCTTTAATGACATTGTGTCCAAATGCTTGATTTTTCTTACATTTATTTCTCTCTCTCTCTCTCTCTCTCTCTCTCTCTCTGTGTGTGTGTGTGTGTGTGTGTGTGTGTGTGTGTGTATGTATGTGTGTGTGCGCGCCAAAGTGTCCATGTGGAGATTGGAGGTCAACTTTCAGGAGCTGACTCTCCTCTCATTATGTGAGTTCTGGGATTCAGACTCAGGTTGTGAGTCTTGGTGGCAAAGGTCTTTATTCACTGGACAATCTCAACAGTCCAAGAATGTTTGATTAGAGTAACTGCTGTTTGAGCTGCTGACTGGGGTTTCCTTTAAAAAAAAAAAAACCATTAAATATTTCAGTTTGGGTTTAGGACAGAAATCCCAACAATTTCTGAATGACCCTGAAGATCTCTCTACCATTTTGTACTATGAATATTTCGGTTTGGGGTTAGGACAGAAATCCCTACCATTTCTGAAATGACCCTGAAGATGTGTCTATCATTTTGTACTATGTGTTGATGCAAAGCAGCCTTCTGAGCATTAGTGCCTTCTTTGTGAGTTTGTGTGGATGTCTGAGTATGTATTTGTGGACCATGCATTCAGGAGCCCGAGGAGGCCAAAAGATCTCCTAGAACTGGAGTTACGGTTGTGAGTCCCTGTGTGGGTACTGGGAACTGAACCCAGGTCCTTTGCTGGAGCAGCCAGTGTTCTCAGATGCTGAGCCATCACTCCAGTCACCATCATTAATAGTCATAACACCAAACAGTGTCTATTGGAGATGCTCTAGGTCCTGCCATATGAAGCATTCCACCAAGATTTAATTTTGATATGTCAAAACATCACTGGATTAGTATAGAAATATCCTTATATCTTTAATAAATGGTAAAATTGTATGAATATCAAAAGTTGCTTTAAAATAAATTCTTTTTCTTTCTTTTATGAAATAGGGATATATATAGCCCAGGCAAGTCTCAAACTCACAATGTAGCTGAGGCTAGACTTGAACTCCTGATCTTCCTGCCTCTACTTCCCAAATGCAAGGATTATACCACATCTGGCTTAAAATAAATGTTTTTGATTTATCAGTAAATGTTTCTTTTGTATACCTATATATCCAGGCATAGGATTTTCTCAGTTAAGAAGGCTCTATGAGTGGAAAGAATTTAAGAAGCATGGTTTAAAGAACAACATAGGGACGAAGTTGAAGTTCAGCTGCTAGAGTGCTGGCCCAGCATGCACAGGGCCCTGGACTCAGTCCCTGACACTGAGGGATTTGGCAGAGTGGATCATACCTCAGGAGGTAGGATCAGAAGGTCAAGGTCACCCTTGACTGCATAAGTTCAAGGCCAGCTAGGATGTATGGGACTTTGTCTCAAAAATGTATTTTTTAAGCTTAAAAGACAAAGAAAGACAACTGAAGAGTAATTGAAATCCTGTGCCCTCGGGGAATGTATTTTCTGGGATCTGTGTTCATCCTTTCTTTATAGCTTTATTAGTCACAGTTAAAAACCCCTTGGGGTTTTGAAACCACCAGCCACCAGGGGGCGCTGCTCCCAGATGGTTCCCTGAAGAATCTCATATCCCATGGCAACTCTTTCAACAAACAGACTGCCTGGTAACTGGACCAAAGGGACAGGCAGGGGCCTAGGCCCAGAGCTGGAGGGAAACAGGACACAACAGGAACCTTCCCCAGCTGTCTCTCTCTTCCTATGTTTGGCCCAGAGCTTGCAGGTCTTTCCAAAGCTAAAAGTAGACAGTTCCTTGCAGGTTGGAAGTTAATTTAAAATAGCTCAGCAGGTTTGTTGTTTGTTTGGTTTGGTTTTATTTTGTTTTGTTTTGTTTTGTTTTGACACAGGATTTCCCCGTGTAGCCCTGGCTGTCCTGGAACTCGCTCTGTAGACCAGGCTGGCCTTGAACTCAGATACTCCTGCCTCTGCCTTCCGAGTGCTGGGATTAGAGGTGTGCACCACCATGCCTTGCTGTGCCTCAACACTTTTGAAGCAGCTTTTACGTTTGATCACCTTGGCTACTTGAATCAGAGTTGAAATATTTTCTTCTTGAGGCTTGCAGGTCATATTTCAATGTGCTCACCCTCAATTGCTGCCTCAGACTTAATCCATCATATAAGTAAGATAGTATAAGTAAAATCAACTAATAAGAACTACTTAGAATAGCCAATGGCTATTGAATGGTGGGCACCGGTCCCATGTTAACCCAAACAGGTAAACACTATGATCGCTCCTATTTGCTAGACCAGAAAACTGAGTCTGAGGGAACAATCTGCCTAAGGGCCTGCAATTGGGCTTCTATTCAGTGCGTTTGTTTGTTTGTTTGTTTGTTTTCATGTGCAGTGTTTTGCCTGCATGTCTGTCTGTGTGAGAGTGTCAGAACTTGGAGTTACCAACAGTGAGTTTAACTACAAGAATTTATTGCTTTCAGGGTCAGAAAGAGAAGCCATTCTCTAGTGATCCTAAACCATAGATCCATCACAGTGTCTTCAAATTAGGAACAACATATAAACGTCCCTAGACTGCAGCTGAGTTGCACCGAGAATGCCACTTGTGGTGAAAGTCACATGGGATGCTGTGCTGAACCGGGAAGGTGACCTCAGGACACACCCATCCCACAGAGGGAGCAGGTGCCGATGGAGAGTTGGGACATGGCAACAGTGTGCCTTCCGGAGGGAGCCAGGAGCCTGGCTCAGTAGCCTCCCAGGGGTGGGTTGGGCTCATGTCTTCACAAGTGGTTTTTCTTTTAATATTACCATGTTTAAGCAGGCATGGTGGAGCATGCCTTTAATCCCAGCACTCAGGAGGCAGAGGCAGGTGGATCTCCGTGAGTTTAAGGCCAGCCTGTTTTTACATAATGAGTTCTAGGACAACCAAGGCTATTACACAGAGAAACCCTGTCTTGAAAAAACAAACAATTACAAAAACAAAACAAAACAAAATTACAATGTTTAATTGTGATGTGTTTCCAAACATACAGAAATGAACAAAGGGAGTCTCCTAGAAACCGAGAATGGATCAGCTGTTGACCCTCCCCCATGCTCCAGCTTACACTTTTGTTTCACTTGTGTTTTTTTTCATCCAACAAGAAGCCATAACTTTATTAGTGATAGAAACAGTACAAATTGCAAACCAAGCTGTAATCCCACTTCTGAAACACCAAAAGGGGGGGGGGGAGAAGGGGATCGTCCTTGCTGTTAATTATGGAATTTAATTCCATAATAGCATTTACAATATTATTACTGTTGTTTTTCAGGGCTGGGACTGCCTTTGCTCTTGACACATTTGCCTGTGACCAAAAAAAAAAAAAAAAAAAAAAAAAAAATGTTCTTTTGAATTTTGAGACAGGGTTTCTTTCTCTGGGTAGCTTTGGAGCCTGTCCTGGCACTTGCTCTGTAGACCTGGCTGGTCTTGAACTCTCTGAGATCCACCTGCCTCTGCCTCCCAAGTGCTGGGACTAAAGGCGTGCTCCACCATTGCCTTGTTTCATTTGTTTTTATTTACTTATTTTAATTGTATATATCTGGGGACATGCACATGTGTGTAAGGAGGTCAGAACACAACTTGCAGGAGTCAGTTCTCCCCTTCAGCATTTTTGAGGCAGGATCTCTCTTGTTTGTGATGCTGTGTGTACTCTAGGCTAGCTGGCATGCCAGCTTCTAGGCAACTCTGTCTCTGCCTCCTTCCTTGTGTAGGAGTGATTACAGGCATGGGCCACTACAGCCAGTGTATTTACGTGGGCTCCAAGCACAGATCAAACTTGGGCCATCAGACTCGAGTGGCGGGTGCCGTTACCCACTGAGCCATCTACTCAACCCATTCTCATTATGTAGCCATCTGGTCTCAAATTCACATTCTCTTTGCCCCAGCTTGCTGGATGCTGGGATTCTGTAGGCAGCTATGCCGCGTTCACTCTCTACCTTTCTAAGAAGGCAAAATATCAGGGACAAAGATAAGGTCCACCTATTCCTTCCCTGCCTTGTCAAAACTCATACTGACAATGAATTCTGGGTTGCGAAAGAGGATTTATTTTTGCGCCAATCTAATCTGCCTTTGACCACCAGACGAACAAACACACATGCAAGCGCTATTGATTTTGTTTCTTTTAACTGTGCGTGACTTGAAAGAAGTTAATTATACAAATCGCAATCATTCAGACTGATGGGTTTTTGCATATATATATATATATTTGGAGGTATATATCTCCAAAATAAAGTATATGTCCAGCCCCTTCAAGGGCTCATTTGTCTAACAGCTTTTTAAAAATAAGCAGATAAAGTTGCCAACATTTTGAAGGTTTAAAAATCTAAAGATTTAACGTAAAACACCATATTCTTAATTATCGTGAAGTTTTAGAAAATGTGACCACATGGAGCTTCCATTACAGCACAAGGACAGGGTAGCACTGCCCACAGGGCCTGTCACTCTACCTCTGCCATCCCCCTGTGGTTAGGAGACCCTGTTCCCTCTAGCTGTAGAGGCTGAAAGATGCTGCCATATTTCTGTCCTTAAAAAGCACTGCAGACATAAAAGATGAATGATTGAAAGCAGAGTCTGAGGAAAAATGTCCTCTTTCCCACCAGCTCGGTGACTTAGAGCTGCTGGCCATGCCACACTGACCGGAGCCACATTCTCCAGGCCTCTGATGTTCAGCATGCCATGCTTAGCCCAGCAGCATCCATGGCCTGTTAGGAAAGCAGTCCCGGTCCCTCCCAGATCTATCCTGTAGTTGCTGGGGCAGCCTCACTACAGCCTTGGAGCCTCAGACAGTGGTACTGTCACAGTTCCAGAAACCAAGAGTCCCTGTCTAAGGCTTTTCCTTTGAGAGCTCCCAACACGGGTTAGAAATAGCTAGCTACCCTCTTCCAAATCCCTCCCTTGTGATCTTTCTTCTGGCTCCCTCTCTCTCTCTCTCTCTCTCTCTCTCTCTCTCTCTCTCTCTCTCTCTCTCTCTCTCTCCTCTCTTTCTCTCTCCCCCCTCGTTCCCTTTATTTAAAAAAATAGTTATGTATTTATTAAAGGCCTCATGGACATGTCCCATGTGCAAGTTGAGGTCAGAGGACAGCTTGCGAAGTCAGTTCTCTCCTTCCACAGTGTGGCTCTTGGGCAGCAAACTCAGGTTTGCAGGCTTGGCAGCAAGTGCCCTTACCACTGAGCTGCCTCAGTGGCCTGCTCTTCTTTCCTTATTATTATTTTAAATATTTATTTGTTTTTATGTGGTGTTGTGCCTGCATGTTTGATGGGAGATGTCATTCTGTAAATATGTTTCTCTTATTGGTTAATGGATAAAGCAACATTGGCAAATAGGAAGGCAAGATAGGCGGGACTAGGAGAGAAGGAGGATTCTGGGAGAGGTAGTAAAGAGTAGAGTCAAGATGTAGGACATGAGAGAAGAGGTCTGGACCATCTCTCCAGTAAGATAAGACCACGTTAGAAATACTTAGATTGATAGAAAGGAGTTAATATTTAAGATAGAGCTAGCCAATAAGAAGCTCTAGCCATTGGTCAACAAAGTTTCTGTGTGTTATTTGGGACCGAAGAGGCTCTAGAACCAAGCTGGCAGGAAACCACTTGTAATACATGTATGTCTGTGTGAGGGTGTCACACTCCCTGGAACTGGAGTTATAGTCAGTTGTGAGCTGCCATGTGGGTGCTGGGAATTGAACTAAGGTTGCCTGGAAAACCAGCCAATGCCCTCGACTACTGAGCCATCTCACCAGGCTCTCTTTTTATTAGTTTTTTAAAAGGCGTGTCTTGCTGATACCCATGCTATCCTATAGATATGCACAGCTATGTATAGCTATACCAAGTTTCCAGTCCTCTTAAAAGTATTCAAACCTTATTGGATTAGACCCATACATATGTGTATGACTGCATATAAGCTTAATCGCTGCTCTCATGACCCTGTTTCAGGCTGGAGGTGTGGCTTAATCTGTAGAGTGCTTACCTGCCTGGCATGAAAGGGGTTGTGGGTTTGATTCCTGGCCACAGTGGCAGATGCCCATCCTAGCATTCTGGGAATGCAAATAGGAGGATCAGGGCTTCTTCAGTTACATGATGAGTTTGAAGCTAGTCTGGCCCACATAAGACACCCCACTCCATGCAACAACATGAACAACAACAAAAACAACAAAAAATTTGTAATAAATAAATAAATAAAAAGGAAGGAAGGAAGGAAGGAAGGAAGGAAGGAAGGAAGGAAGGAAGAAAAGAAGACTATATTTCCAAACTAGTCACATTCTGAGGTACTGGTGGTTAGATTTTTGACTTCTGAATTTTGTGTATTTTGTGAAATACAATTTGGACAATAACATCTACTAAATTAGGATTTAATTCTGACAAAATCACCAAAGCACTTGTGTGTACGTGAATGCTGGAGAAGGGAGGCCTGGGTGGACCTTCTCCCTGTGGTAGGCCATCTTCCTTTGGGTGAGGTTGGGAAAGAAAAAGAAGCAGCCATTATTCCGTGTGTTGTCTCCCCGCCCGCCATGGATGTAGTAGAATGGAATGCTATGGAACCAAGGTCAGTGGCCTTGACGGTGAGCGCCTGGCTCTTACTGAGGAGCAGGGACAGTCTGCACTTTGGGGAATGTGAGGAGGATGGAGCAACAAGCTGACCACATGCCTCTGGTCTCTCCTCCAAAACAAGCTGGTGCTGGGGTGTGGCTGCATCTGGGGTGTGGCTGGTCTTAACAACCAGGCCCTTTTACCTGCTCACAACACTAAAACTGGCTCTTATATGGACACAAGGCAAGGTTCTGGGGATTTCTAGAACAGGAACCAGGAAGACTGTGTACTCTCTCTGTACAATCTCATTCAGCACCTCTACCTTGGGCCTGATACTATGGAGATGGTTGCCATAGAGATAATCCATAGAAGCTAATCCTCAAACAGTGCCATGCCCATCATCTGGTTTAGAACTTCTGATGCTCTTGACTCTGCCTCCCAGGTGCTAGCATTACACACATGTCCTACCACACCTGGTTTATGGGGCGGTATGTATGGAACACAGGGCTCAGCCTTTGAAAGCATCGGCTGCTCTTAGAGAGGACCCAGGTTCAGTTCCCAGCACCCACATAGTGGCTCACAACCATTTATAACTCCAGTTCCAAGGGATCCAACACCCTCTTCTGGGCCCCTCAGGCGCCAGGAACACATGTGATGCACATACATATACACTCAAGCACATAGAATAAAAGATAAATCTTTCTTTTTTAGGGGAATTTTGGTCTGAAAGAGTACAGCGATTTGCAAAGCAACCCCCTCCACAAATAATAATTATGGAATCAGAGGAGTCAGGACACATCTCCTTGATGCCAGAGAAGTTTACAGTAAGCAAAGGTGTCTTAGGGTTTCTACTGCTGTGAAGAGATACCATGGACACTTTTTATAAAGGAAAACATTTAATGGGGTGGCTGGCTTACAGTTCAGAGGTTCAGTCCATTATCCTCATGATGATCATGGCAGACATGTGCACGCAGATACAGTGGTGGACTCGAGAGCCCGACATCTTGATCAGGCAACAGGAAGTGAACTGGACACTGGGCATGGCTTGAGCATAGGAGCCCTCAAAGCCCACCTCCATGGTGACACACTTCTTCCAACAAGGCCACACCTACTCCACTAAAGTCATGCCTCCTAATAGTGCCATTCCTTTTGGGGGCCGTTTTCTTTCAAACCACCACATTCTACTCCCTGGCCCCAAAGGCCATATCATAATGCAAAAAATGTGTCCAGTCCATTTTAAAATTCCCCACATATCACAGTCTCGACAATGCTTGAAAATCCAAAGTTCAAAGTCTTTTCTGAGATCATGCAATCCCTTAACTCTAATGCCCTCCCTATAAGATCAAAACAAAAAAAGAAATCACATACTTCCAACATATAATGGCACGGGATATACATTACCCGTGTATAATGTATAATGTATAATGAAGGGACCATATCGAGGAAATACTGGACCAAAGCAAGACAGAAAACCAGCTGGGAAAACTCCAGACTGCATCTCCCCGTCAGATGACAGAACGCTCTTCAGATCTCGACTCCTTTCAGCTTTATTGACTGCCACACACGTCTTTTTCTTGGGCTGGTTCCATTCCCTGTTGGCAGCTTTCTTTGGTAGGTGTCCCATGACTCTGGCATCATCTCTAACATGTTGGGGTCTCCAAGGCAATCCAGGCTTCTCCTTCACAGCTTCACACAGTGGCCTCTCTGGGCCTGCATTCAGGGACACCCCCGACATGTGCCTGGCCCCAAAGGCCTTCCTTAGTTGCCGAGGAATATTCCATAACCCTCTTCTTCTACCCTTAAAGCCAGATCCATGTGGCTGAAGCTGCCAAGTTCTACTGCTTGCTGAGGCTGGAACACGGCCCCTTGTTTAATTATACCTTCCTCATCTTTCTGTTTTCCATGGTTTCCTTCACCGTTTAAGTTTGGTTGTCCTGGAACTTGCTCTTCAGACCATGTTGGCTTCAAACTCAGAGATCCACCAGCCTCTGCCTCCTGAGTGTTGTTATTAAAGGCACCATACAGGGTCCTAAGTGTTTCTTTAATTCCTTTCAGGAGTTGGAAACTTAACTGGGTGGGGTCTTGCCCTGGGGTCACACTTCCTGTATTCCTATTCTTAATCTGTTTATCTCCTTGAACGCAGGACCTAGCTCTATTCTACCTCCTCAAATTTAATTTTTGTAATTTACCCTGTTCAGCTCGCTCCTTTTCATTATAAATCTTCATTAGAGTTAACCCTAACAACCACACAACAGAGTCTTCTGCCAACGGATTAATCTAAACCTCTTCACTTTAGCCTCAGGCAGACTCTTTGGACAAGGGCAAAAGTCAGCCATATCTTTTGTCAAAATATCATTTAAAAAATACCTCTAGTCAACACACTAAAACTATTCTCCTCTGAAACCCCGTGAGCCAGCTCCCCACAGTTCAGATCACACTCAGGACCACTGTCTTCCATGTCCCACTAGTATGGTCCATTAAACAATGCTTAAAGCATTCCACTGCTTTCCTAACCCAAAGTACCAAAGTCCCTATTACTCCAAACATGGTCAGGCCTATCACAGTGATACCCTGGTCCCTGG